CTTAAGTCAGTTGGAATTATAAATCCCCTTTTGCAATGGATCAAGTCTTTTCTTACGAACAGATACCAAATAACCAAGATTGACTCTACAACATCTACACCTCGACCAATATCCAGTGGTGTTGTGCAGGGCAGTGTCTTGGGTCCATTGCTCTTTATAATATACATCAACAGTATATGCAAGTGCTTTAGCACAGTTAAGACCCACCTCTATGCCGATGACTTAAAGGTCATCTATAAAACCGACACTTGCGATGTACGTAGTACTATGCAAACAATCCAACATGAACTCAACATGGTAGACGACTGGTGCAAACACTGGAGGTTAGAGCTCAACACACAGAAATGCTGCTGGTTATGTATAGGAGACACGTCTCTCAAAATAAAACTAACACTTAACAACAACGCACTGTCCAGACTGACATCAATAACTGACCTAGGGGTACACTACTCACACCGTCTCAATTTCTCTGAACACATCTCAGCCAAAGCATCTAAAATGCGGAAATCGCTTGGCTTCATTCTCCGTAATTTCTGTCAAAATGAATCTAAAATCTTTCTTTATAAAGTTTGTGTAAGACCTATCGTTGAATACTGCTCTTTCTTCTTTTTCAACCTACGCCTATCTGATATACTAAAGGTGGAAGGAATACAACGAGACTTCACCCGCAAAATACTTAAGACTAAATCAGTCGTTGACTACAGTTCCCGATGCCAAATCCTAAGAATAGCACCCCTTTGGAAGAGAAGGCTTAGGTCCAATTCGATTCTCTACTTTAAAATACTCAAAAACCTTACTCATTCAACATGTAATATGGTTCTTGCCCGAAATTCACATGAATACGTACTTCGAAACAAAGTATCCACGGTCAAAGTTGAGAAATACAGATCAAAAACTCGGGAAAACTTCTTCCTCATCAAGTATGCAATAATTTGGAACAGTCTTCTCTCCGAAATACACATGGCAGATGAATTACATACGTTTGTAAGACTGCATGACCAAGCCCTCATTTGCACTGATCTAGCACGTACGAACACATCTGCGCCCCACTCAGACATCATAGGCTCTCTACGTGTCTAAACCAAAATGGACTTCAAGTTCAGTTTGCCTTATTTTTCCTACTTTGCAGTTGTTTTAGTTACTTTTCCCACTCTATTTCTTCACTTAAAGTAGACAGGTAACTCACTGGACCTACTGATACTGTTCAACTAAACTCGGCCGCTGAGAGACACTCATTACCACCCTAAAAAGTCAAGAGAACCGCGCAATCGACTGCCTACTACCGATTTACCTGCATCTATGGAGCCTGTTACCAATCAACTGGTTAGGACAACACAAAATAACATCAGCACCAAGTTGGTGTGAGTCTCTCCTTGTTTATTGCTTATTAGCATTTTACTCTTCTGCACACCATGTTGACTAGCAATTAATATTATTTCTCCACTCGTTACCTTATCTACAACCCATATACTTCTATAATTTTCCGCCCGCTTTAATAAACTACTATCCTACATTACACCCCTCTTAATGCTTACACTCTAATTGGCAAACTATACTTTATACTATAGTCAATCATAGCACTGCATCGATGCCTTACCCACAGTTCATAATTTGTAACTGCCTGATAAGCTTGTAATATGATACTTATAGAAATGGTGTTTTCCAACAGGTTGCGAAACAGAGGATTGTGTGAGGTGTGACATATATCCAAAAATAAGCCTAAATGAGGCTAACATCACAAAAGGAGGGAGGTCGGAGTTACTGACCAGCAAGCATTGATGGTGAGGGCGATGACTTCAATCCACTCGTGTTTGTGGAGCAGAACATTTTGTATGTATCAGGTTCTCTATGATTGAGCATAAGTCAATCCATCCGTGATATAGATTGTCTTCCTACGCTCATTACTCCAATTTTTTACTGGATTGGCTATTCTACTAAAATAACCTATAACATGCTGACTCGGATTTTTACACTAGGATTGTGTGGCTGACATCGGATGGACAAAAAAGAAAATAAAGAAAAAATCAGACAATAAAAGATATAGTTATTAATATTCTCAACACTTCACCCTCTATATGCACACTCCCTTCTAATAAACAACTTTTCCTGTACCAATCTTAACTTCCATTCCTTCATGTGAGCTTACTCCAACTTGGTAAACATCAGAATTCATTGTTCTTTATTACTGCGTTCTCTTAAATGGAGCCTCTGACTTCATTTCACTCTAACAAGAGGTAATATGAATTTAACCTAATTTATTATGCCTCTATCTGTTCTACTACACAATGTTAAACAACGTTTGGAGTACATATCGGAGTGCCTTGCTGCTCTGCTGATTCTCTTTTTTATTTTTTTTTCAGTATCTTGTTCTGAGGGCACAGCTATGGAACTTCTGACGTCTGGAACAAACTTGACGTATGTGTCAACTCAAGGTCATGATTTATAGCAAGAGCTCTACGTGTCTACTTTATGACAACTATAAACTCAATAAGTTGGGAAGCGTGCTATGCTCCGACAAATGTTGTAATTTGTGGATAATGCTTGCAAAAATGGCGTGTACCTGCTCATGCAGAAATATATTATTATTATTATCTTTTATAGTTCAAACCTGGTTGTCGTCGAACAACTACCCGACCATTGGAAGTACTTCTACTTCACAAACAACTAAACTTATTTGTGAACACTTTGGTGGGGTAGTGCCTGATGAGTTGACCGAAAGGAACTGCTTCTCTGCACAGTCATCCTTTGAGGATAACCAAATAATAGATTTGTGGCCAAATAATACCTGTTTCGTATGATTCCTCCATATTTCTAGACATTTATCGATTGTCCCTTTCATATTCACTGCCTGTAATGTAACATGGGCAAGTTGAAACTGGAGAACAGTGTATCCAAAGTGCTAGTATATGACGAATGTCAGAATATCGTGACTTTCAACAAAATCTGGATTGCCAGAGACATGTAGGACGGTCCACTTCCCTTCAGAGACCTCTAGCTATTTCCAAACGGTAGTCTAGGTGCTGTATGTGTTAATGTTTTCCTCTGTGTATAATCTTCAGGAGCTCACAGAATCTCATCACTTGGGATAAAATACTGAACTGTGATGCAGAATAAGGCGTGATCGATGCCTCATTTGACAAGCGTATTACACAGATGTTCTGAAGCCCATGTAATCTCGGTTGTTAGTTTCTACAAGATATCGTAGGATTTTCACAAGTATATGCTCCACAGTTTTGACCTTTGAGTGAATCTAACATTTCTAGTCTCTAATTCACAGACTGTTAGTTATCTCAGAAGCATCTGAGACATATCAAGATTGTACGAGACTCTGACTCAGTTTAAACACAGCCCTCCAGGAAAAACCAATCAAGGTGCCACAGTTATTTAGAGTTTGACAACACTAACCAGTAACACCTTCTACTACGAATCGTACCCACCAAGTGAAATCAAAAGACAGAAGCGGAGAGGTTCGAAGATATATTTGATAGGCTATAAATATATCGAAGATCGTCTGATCTAATCTGGCTAGCGATTGCAGTAGATGTTGAGCACGGCGTTCCCACACGTGATCTGCTGTGGATGCATGACCGAATGCCTTCAGCTAGATGAGTCCATTAAAACTAATGTGGTCAGCATCCAATGTCGAAAACTTACAGAGCTATTTATTTTGGGAATTTGTTTACCGCCACACCAGTTTAACGTTTATCTCCAAAAAGTCTCAGTTCTTAATGCAGAAATCAACTTATCTTACTCAAGTTCTGTTCGTTTATGACGCACAGACACTAGTGTTTTCACTTCAGTCGAATTAATTTCAGCTAAAACAGTACTCGTTATACTTTTTTGCAAAAGTAATTTCATCCCTACTTAATTGAGAATATCTTTCTTCTGTTTGTAGCGCTTTTAAACTTCAGGGTTAATGACCCATTAATTTCTTGGCTATCTGTTCTTTGTCTATACTTGATCCTGTGTCTATGTGTTGAGTCGGCTTCCCGAGAACTGCAACGAAGCCTCCAGAGGCCCTGAAGGAGCGAAGGGTCCTAGTCAATCAGGGTATGATGGAGCTTTCTAGAATACCAATGTGGCGTGCTACTATTGGCCAGTAGCATAATATGTCTTTTAGCGGATTGGCCAAAATATGACGTTGATTTAACAAATGTTAACATCTATAAATACCCGTGTTTTTCTGTACAAAAATGGACCTTACAGTTAAATACTTTTTTCGCATACTCATGCGTCTTTTCTTTTGTGTTCTAGCTTGGGGGTCTCAAGAATAGCTTAGGAAACGAAATAAGCGTCCAAATCCCAAGACTTATCAGTGGCGACTGAGATGGATTTCGAACCCACGCCATTTCGGACCACGCAACAGATGAAATAACACCGGTTTCTCCGGAAACATCACACAAATGAGTGGCCTGGCTAGTGAAAGCATTCCACAAGTAAACACATGTTCACAACCCAACCGCCAGAACATTTTGAGAAGACCAATCAACAATATTAAGGTAAAAATCATCTTGTAGATCCGGAGCATCTAGAACTTTATACGGTACCCGAGATATTTTATGTGCTTGTTTTTGTGGGAAATTTCAGCAAATACTGATTTTTTCAGATACTGGAGACACGGTATAGGGAGATGTTCTCAATTTACATGGACTCTCTCGTCTAAGCTTGAAGGAAAACATATTGTTGTTTTCTCTAGCTGCCAGAACGCCGGAATTGCCGAAACTGCATCTTGAATTCACAGGGCTATAAACCCCACCTAATGAAGCTTCCTCAAGTTCGTTGGCTACAAGAGCAGAGAGAAGGTCGCGGCCTCGCTTCTGTGGGTGGTGCAGGCTCCCGCCCAGCCGAATGGACACCAGATGTTCCCCAGTTGCTTTCTCCAGTAAAAGACGCGAGTTCGTGACTTTGATAGCCATTCTGATTGGGAGAATCAACATTATTACTGAGCCCATCAGTATTTCCGCGACTACTTTGAAACAGCTTACGTGTTGGATATAGACATGCTTGGGTTTCGAGATTCGGATCACGCTTCACCATGGTCTGTCTCAAAGACGTCAGCGAATTCCACTGTCACCCAGACTACTGCTTTACAGTCGATCAAAAATGGGACAGATCCTCTTGTTCCTGGAGCAGTATGTGTGCTAAAGGATCATAGACAAGATGTATGTGGGTTAAAGTGGTCTCCGGACAGTCAGTATTTAGCATCAGGAGGTAATGACAATCGTCTACTCTTTTGGAGGCAACGTGCACCACCTACTGGTGGCCCTGTATTAACTTACGAAGAGCACGTGACCTCTGTCAAAGCAATTTCACGGTCGCCTCATCAACATGGATTACTCGCAGGTGGAGGTGGTACAGCTGGTCGTTGTATCAGATTTTGAAATACATTAACTGGTCAGGCTTTGCGTAGTGTTGATACTGGCAGTCAGGTTTGTAATATTGCCTGGTCCATACATAGTAACGAATTGGTCAGTAAACATGGTTACTCACAGAATTAAAATCTTGTTTGGAGATATCCTGGTCTAACATAGTTAGTCAAGTTGGTTGGGCATTCATTTCGTGTGCTGTACTTAGCAATCAGTCCAGATGGTGAAAGCATAGTGACTGGTGCAGGAGATGAAACACTTCGCTTCTGGAATATATTTACTAAAGCCAAAACTCCAAAAATGCAACCATCTTCACTGAACTTATTCAATGGGATTAGATGATCTATCTAAAAAAAGAAGTCTTTCAAAACCTGTGAATAATAACTGAACAGTGAAAAGAAAGCAGTTCACAACTCTCAGACTGTCGATACCTTATGGAAAGCGCCATGCAGCACGATGCGTAGAAAAGATGGTATCACGAAGTTTGCACAAATAGAACACTTGCGGCATTCTTTATCTAAATTTTCCCTGCAGGTACAGGCAGTGCTTGTCACATTTCAAAATAACGCTACGTATCAATTGTCAGCATCTGCCGAAAGGAATCGGATCACCAGAATTCCCAACACCGAGGTTTATTCAATCGAACGACGCCACTGACTCCTGCTATACTCTAACATGTTACCTTGGCATTCATCATGACCGCAAACGCTCCCAAACTCTTAGAAGGAGTTCTTCACGCAAACGTCCTGTCTCTAAATCACGCGAGACAGATAACTTGTAGAATTATGGTCTACTATGATATTAGCACTGCTCTAATAATAGACCTAATCCTAAAATTGTAGATTTATCATGATGTAACTGCCTAATCTATAAGATCTTAAGTGGAAGTTACATCATCGTCTATACCAATTCATGCATTGTAACAATTACCAATACGTGTTAGAGAACAAGCTTAGGCTAGAGATGGAACAATATATTTAACATGAATAAAAGACATAACGTAACATTTAGCAGGAGGGACCACGCCTGCATGGTCGAGCCATGCCATAAGATTAACTCGTATTAATTCAATTCACTGTTCCCGCCTTTCTTCATTGTTTGGTATTTCCCAGCGTTTAATGCTGAATGTCTATTTTCCAGTTTGTCTCGTGTTACGGCTCAATGCCACTACAAACTGTCATTGGTCCTAATACCATAATAAGTATGGAAAATCACGAAATTACAGAAAACTGTGAGATTTACCAAACCCCAAAACACCTGACAGGGAAAACGCTTCTTGAAACCTCCCAACCGGCATGAGTTAGCGGCAACTGTAGCCGGCGAGCATCGCCGTCTGTTATACGTCATAGCGAAAGTAGGTTATCTCGTCGACGCTGGCGCAGAAGTTAGCATTCTTCCAACAGGTTCTAACGACCGACTGCACGAGGTAGTTTACAAATTACGGGCGCCAAATTAGAAACCGATCATGATATAATGATAATAACAATTATGTGTAGTGGTATTGGTTTTAAATACACAGTCCTGAAGGCTGAACTTTGGTCAACTGAGAAAATACATACTCGACATTTAACACGGAGAGGAAGAAAACAATGGTGAACGCGGGAACATTCATTCGAGAATCAACAGAATGGCGTGCAACAGTCTTCAACGCGTGCTCATCCTTGTATAACTTATCTCTTTTATTCACATTAAATATACTGTTATGTCTGCAGCCCAATTGTTTCCTTTAGAAACGCTGGACATATTTCTGATAGATGCAATACGACGAGTCAGTGCAGACTGATGGGCCTTCCATGGAATACCTCGTAGATTATTAGTCATATCATGACAAATCTACAATGTTAAGATAAGATCTGTTATAATAACATTAATGAAGAACATGACCGTGAAGATACCACAGGTATTTAGAGTTTGACAACACTAACCAGTAACACCTTCTACTACGAATCGTACCCACCAAGTGAAATCAAAAGACAGAAGCGGGGAGGTTCGAAGATATATTTGATAGGCTATAAATATATCGAAGATCGTCTGATCTAATCTGGCTAGCGATTGCAGTAGATGTTGAGCACGGCGTTCCCACACGTGATCTGCTGTGGATGCATGACCGAATGCCTTCAGCTAGATGAGTCCATTAAAACTAATGTGGTCAGCATCCAATGTCGAAAACTTACAGAGCTATTTATTTTGGGAATTTATTTACCGCTACAGATCACTCCACGCCTTGTGGGGTAGTGATGACCCTAACACGTGGCCAGCCAAAAGTTTAAACCCAATGAGTGTATCGTTGGTAAATACTCTCTTGATAGCCTGCAATATTCAGCAGCGTCTGGTTATCTTTCTTTATTATAAAGGATCATGTAGTACAATATAATAATAAAGAAACAAGGTACAACAAAAATTTTGGTTCATCGTAAACTTCGTCGTTCCTATTCGTCTTTTCCAGCCGTCCTGGAAACGGAAAGAAGGATATGTAATTATACGTCGAATTACACTCGTACGCATGTAAAGACACACAGTGGGCGAAAAACGGAAACCTCATGCACGCGCAATAGCGTAAAAATAATTTTTAAGAAACATATATTAGCAAAAAAAATTTTGAATAGATATATAAATATGAGCGTATCAAAATTGGTTTTTTATATTGTATATAACACAAAGAATAGTCGAGTTGAAGCAAAATGTTAACTTGTGTCTTACGTGCAATAATCGTTCAAATGTTCTGAAAACCTTACTTCTCTTCCACAACGCGTTGTTTCGAGTCTATTTTCAGATACTTCCGAAGTATCAACGTGAGTGTAGGCTTTATGTTGAGGTATTATAAATGCAGGAGTCGTATCGTGAGATTGTACTGAAGGAAAATCGACGTGAATAGGATTTCCTTCTAAATACGCTGTTTTGAGGCGGCTGAGGCTGATGCTATCGTCGGTTCCGTTCTTATCGACTATATAGCACTTAGATTCGCGTTGAAGAACATTGAAGTGTCCTTCGTATGCTGGCTCGAGTGGTCGTCACTGTGAGTCTCGACGTACGAAGACGTGTGTAATTTATCGTAAGTCAGGTTGAACAAAGACATCAGTTGATTGCGGTCGAGTGGAAACAGGCGTAAATGAACGCATTGCGTTTTTAAGCCTGCTCGTGTAGGAGTTTAGAACCATATTCATTGAAGAAGATGACCGATCCACGAATTCTCCTGGAAGTCGAAGGGTCGTTCCATAAACGAGTTGAGACGCAGTGTATCCAATGTCAGCTTTCACCGCATTTCGAATACCTAGTAAGACGAGTGGAAGAGCGTCAGTCCGCTGAGAAATGTTTGCGGTTGATAGTGACGCTTTTAGTTGTCGGTGAAAGCGTTCTACTAACCCGTTTGCTTGTAGGTGGTAGGCGGTCGTTCGGAAGCGAGTGATTTCTAATATTGCGGTCGGACAACGGAAAAGTTCAGATTCAAACTGGTGTCCGCGATCTATAGTGATGGTTGAAGGGCAGCCGAAGTTTGTTACCCATCGTTCGACAAAAGCGCAGGCCACTGTTCCAGCAGTAATGTCTGTGGTGTGTACTGCTTCTGGCCATCGAGTGAAACGGTCTACGCAGGTTAAGAGATAATAGTATCCGTTTGAATCTGGTAAAGGTCCTACCGAATCCAGATGAACATGGTCGAAACAAGCGTCAGGAGTTTCGGAAGAGACTAAAGGACATTTGTAGTGTCCAATAACCTCAGATGTTTGGCAGCTTACACAGGAGCGTGCCCACTCCCTCATGTCTTTATTTACATCAGGCCAGCAAAACCGTTCTTCCATAAGCTTGATGGTTGCACGAACAACTGGATGAGAAATTTTGTGCAACGTATTGAGAACGTTGCGTCGATAATGTTTCGGCACGATTGGGAGATTCCTACTTGTAAATGTGTCACAAAGTAAGCTTTCCTTACCTGTTCTCATCTGTTTAATTCGCAGTTTAAGTGTTGTTGAGGACAACTCGTGCTGAAGATCAGTGTCTTCTTTTTGAAGTTGAGCGAGTCGCAGGTCGATTCCTTGGAAACTGTTCAAGGAAGTAATTCGAGACAAGGCGTCTGCGACTACATTGTTTGCCTCAGAAATGTGTTGAATGTTTGAAGTAAACTGCGAAATGTAGTCCAGTTGTCGAGACTCACGTGGTGAGTGCTTCTCTGAAGATGAACTTAAAGAGAAGATAGGCGGTTTATGGTCAGTGAAAAGAGCGAATTCTCGGCCTTTGATATAGTGTTGGAGATGCCGTACAGCACAATAGATAGCTAGGAGTTCCCTACCGAATATGCTATACCTCGATTCAGTGTTTAGCAACCGTCTAGAGCAAAATGCCAAAGGTTGTCAGGATTGGCTAACCCATTGTTGTAAGACTCCTCCGTTTGTCGAGTTGTGCTTCAGTGTCCTGATGAGCAAGCATTGTTGCTTGGGCGATAAGTTCCTTAACTGTGGTGAATGCTTTTCGCGCGGTGTCGTCCAGATTGATGGATTTCGCATTTCCACGAAGTTGGTCAGTTAGAGGCTTCCTAAGTAACGCGCATTTCGGTATGAACCCTCTATAGAAAGTTACAAGGCCGTTAAACGTGCGTAATTGCTTGATGGTGGTCGGTTCTGGGTAATCCAGAATGGCCACCACTTTTGTTATAAGGGGTCGTATGCCTTCTCCATCAATAATGTGTCCTACGAAGTCTAAGGTGTCAGTTCCGATTTGGCATTTCTGAATGTCTATAGTAATGCCATGTTTTTGTAGCCGGTCGAAAACAAGATCTAGATGCTTGAGATGCGATTCTCTGTCCGGACTTGCTATTAGACAGTCATTAACATACGCATGTACGGAGTCGAGACCTCGAAAACGTCGTCTATGAACATTTGGACGGTTTGTGCAGAGTTTCTTAGACCGAAAGGCATTCGCGAAAATTCGTAGAGTGCGAAGGGAGTTATAATAGCGGTTTTCAGAATATCGTCAGTGGCCATAGGAATTTGGTTATACGCTTCAACCAAGTCGATTTTCGA